TTTGCTGGAAGTTTCGCTGCCAGATGACATGGGAATTGATGCTGTTTGCTGGGAAGTTTATGCAAAAAAAAAAACAGAGGACACGATTTTGAGAACAGAGAGAGTTGTTGACGGAAAAGGTATTTACAAACACTCTGATACCATGTAAAGTTTGCAGTAAGGTTTTATGAAGAAGAGTTGAGTTTTCTATTAAACATGATTGCGTAATATATAGGCGAGTAAGTTTACATGGAAAAATCATAATTTTCCTTACTTAGTGTTCGGAAATTAAGGCTAAGATAGATACAATATATATGCAGGATATATACATGAGATATGAGGAGATCGCCCAAGAGAGAAGATCGCGTTTGAGACACGTCATTACATTATGTACATTTATTTCGACAATGCCAGGATCAGTGAAATGAACGCATATGAATTATAAAGATGACTAGCATCCACGCAGCTTTGTCAAGTATGCCAATTTATAGTTAGGTATCCGCTCGGAGAAGATATACATAACAACACTTCTTGAGTCCCTAATAATGGCGCCAAAACCAGCCTCAATTTTTTCATGAGAAATAGTCTCATCCACAGTACATTTTCATAGCCTGGTTGGAGGTGGTAGCCAGTTTGGGGCATTAATAACTGTCTGTTGTGGTGTCTCCTACCCCCTTCTCCGGGCTTCTTGAGTTAGTTTCCACTCCTGCAGGTACTTACCAGAGACGAACACAGAGATATGATCGACATAGGTTTTGTTATCCATATGACCTCATTATGTTCCTACCAAAGCCACCACAACAAACATAGACACTCCTCAACTGATTTCGGCAGTTGGACCATAAAATATTGCTTAATCCATTCTTTAAATTACTCGTGATCGACGCTAATATTTGGCATCCCAGGATTTGCCAACAACCCCAAGCTTTATCGCACTCCCAGAACACGTGAGCAACCGATTCCTCTTTGTCACATCTAATACACTCAGACCCTATGTCCACTCCCTTCTCCTGGAGCCTCACTTTAATTGTCAGCAGATTGTTCATGAGTGTTCATCCAAAGTTTTTCACTTTTGGTGGTACCTACGCTTTCTATACAAATTTTCAGACTGAATAGGGGTCCTGTGAATGTTCTCCACCGTTACCTACTAGATGCTGGTAGACATACTTAACTATGTATTGTTCGTTATCTGAGAAACTCTATATATATATTTTTGTCTTTTCTGTTGTTGAGGCTCAATGGAATGCTCAAAATAAGATCAACTTCTTCATCCATAAATAAACCACGCATTCAAGAAAAAGAGTGGAAACTACTTTTTTCCCATTATCAAATTTTGATAACTTGACTCCATATTCCATAGGCATGTTCACAGGATTGTAATTAAGCATTTTGAATTTCTCTAAGACTTTTCTTGCATAGCCTTCTTGAGAAATAAAAA